AGAGCTAAGTCAGTGTGACACAGAGCCAGGTCAGTGTGACACAAAGCTAAGTCAGTGTGACACAGAGCCAGGTCAACGTGCCACAGACCCAGGGTCAGTGCACCACAGAGCCAGGTCAGTGTGACAGAGAGCCAAGACAGTGCACCACAGAGCCAGGTCAGTGTGACAGAGAGCCAAGACAGTGCACCACAGAGCCAGGTCAGTGTGACAGAGACCAAGAAACAAACCACAGACTAACACAACTCCCAGGAGCCATATAACACTACACGCATGTCAGAGTACCTTCCTCTAAGCTTCACGTGACAATCTCCACCTCGACCCGTTCCACCAGCCACATATATTCTCCTTTACCGCGAGAGAATACATATATGTCTTTATCAGCGCCCGAAACCCCTCTGGAGTGGAAGCTTCCAGCGATGAATTTTTCCAGTACCAAGACCGGCAATGTCGTCTGGGTGTCTCAATGAGTCTGGCTTGTTGGCAACTTCCAGGAGTGGTGAGTATGACGAATCTCGTTTTTCTGTGACGCGAGTTCGAATCTCCGATGAGGCAATTTCATTGAAATTGATATAGAAAGGTCTCATTGGGTAATAGCTCGCGGCAGAGAGATCTTTTATTGTTTTTATCTATTGGAAATATATTTGAAGCAACACACTTAGATTTATTATTATTATTATTATTATTATTATTATTATTATTATTATTATTATTATTATATATAAAACAGTTAACCTAAATTAACCTTAACCTAACCTAACCACGGATAGAAAGTAGAAAATAGCGTTCATTACGTAGTCGTTCCTAATACATTTCTTTGAGCGGATCGCCTCCCTAAGGATAGTGTACATCACGCCTATAGTGTGCACACACCCCACAGTGTGCACACCACCACAATGTGCACACACCCCCACAGTGTGCACACACACCCACAGCGTGCACACCACCACAGTGTGCACACACCCCCACAGTGTGCACACCCCCCACAGTGTGCACACACCCCCACAGTGTGCACCCCCCCACAGTGTGCACACCCCCACAGTGTGCACACCCTCACACAGCGTGCACACACACTCACAGCGTGCACACACACCCACAGCGTGCACACACCCCCACAGCGTGCACACGCTCCACAGCGTGCACACACGCCCCACAGCGTGCACACACCCCCACAGCGTGCACACCCCCACAGCGTGCACACCCCCCACAGCGTGCACACCCCCCACAGCGTGCACACCCCCACAGCGTGCACACACCCCACAGCGTGCACACACACCCACAGCGTGCACACACCCCACAGCGTGCACACACACCCACAGCGTGCACACACCCCCACAGCGTGCACAACCCCACAGCGTGCACCCCCCCCCCTTTACAGCGTGCACACACCCCCACAGTGTGCACACACACCCCCACAGCGTGCACACACACCCCTACAGCGTGCACACAACCCCACAGCGTGCACACACGCTCCACAGCGTGCACACACACCCCTACAGCGTGCACACAACCCCACAGCGTGCACACAACCCCACACCGTGCACACCCCCCCCACAGCGTGCACACACACCCCCACAACGTGCACACACCCCCACACCGTGCACACACACCCACACCGTGCACACACCCCCACATTGTGCACACACCCCCATAGAGTGCACCCCCCCACAGCGTGCACACACCCCCACAGGGTGCACACACCCCCACAGCGTGCACACACACCCCCACAGCGTGCACACACCCCCACAGCGTGCACACACCCCCACACCGTGCACACCCCCCCCACAGCGTGCACACACCCCACAGCGTGCACACATCCCACAGCGTGCATACACCCCCACAGCGTGCACACATCCACACAGCGTGCACACACCCCCACATTGTGCACACACTCCCACACCGTGCACACACACCCACAGCGTGCATACACCCCCACAGCGTGCACACCCCCCCACAGAGTGCACCCCCCCCCACAGCGTGCACACACCCCCACAGCGTGCACACACACCCCCACAGCGTGCACACACACCCCTACAGCGTGCACAACCCCACAGCGTGCACCCCCCCCCCACAGCGTGCACACACCCCCACAGCGTGCACACCCCCCCACAGCGTGCACACACCCCACAGCGTGCACACATCCCACAGCGTGCACACCCCCCCCCCCACAGCGTGTACACCCCCCCCCACAGCGTGCACACACACACCCCTACAGCGTGCACACACCCCAACAGCGTGCACACACCCTAGAGCGTGCACACCCCCCCCCGCAGCGTTCACACACCCCACAGCGTGCACACACACCCCTACAGCGTGCACACACCCCAACAGCGTGCACACACCCTAGAGCCTGCACACCCCCCCCCCCCCCCGCAGCGTTCACACACCCCCACAGCGTGCACACACGCCCCACAGCGTGCACACACGCCCCCCCCCCGCAGCGTTCACACACCCCCACAGCGTGCACACACGCCCCACAGCGTGCACACACGCCCCCCCCCCCCCGCAGCGTTCACACACCCCCACAGCGTGCACACACCCTAGAGCGTGCACACCCCCCCCCCCCCGCAGCGTGCACACACCCCCACAGCGTGCACACACCCCCACAGCGTGCACACACACCCCCACAGCGTGCACACCCCCCACAGCGTGCACACACACGCCCCACAGCGTGCACACACACCCCCACAGCGTGCACACACACCCCCACAGCGTGCACACACCCCCACAGCGTGCACACCCCCCACAGCGTGCACACACGCCCCACAGCGTGCACACACCCCCACAGCGTGCACACACCCCCACAGCGTGCACACCCCCCACAGCGTGCACACACGCCCCACAGCGTGCACACACCCCCACAGCGTGCACACACACCCCCACAGCGTGCACACACCCCCACAGCGTGCACACCCGCCACAGCGTGCACACACGCCCCACAGCGTGCACACACACCCCCACAGCGTGCACACACCCCCACAGCGTGCACACACACCCCCACAGCGTGCACACACCCCCACAGCGTGCACACACCCCCACAGCGTGCACACCCGCCACAGCGTGCACACACGCCCCACAGCGTGCACAAACTCGTCAGGGAACACAACGGGTTCATAGTATCCGAGTATTTTTGAAAATTGTTTTCATTTCTCAGTATTGCTATTATATTAATTGTAAAATATACATGTTTTTAATCAATCTCAATAATGGTGACAAGATAAATTGTGAAATACACCTTAAAAATAAATTATGCATCAAGCCAATTGGATTGTTTGTTGAAAGAGTGAAACTCAATATAGTTAACTTTGGACGAAAATATTTATACAGTATACACTTTTTCCATTGCTTTTTTTGTTATTTAAAATTTAAATTTAAATTGTGTTATTTATTTGTATAAAAACTTTTGTATAAATGTTAAAAAAGGAACATTTCTGGCGCCAGTTTGACGTCAGGAAGATAGACAGCAGCGCCACTCGCGGCGATTACCAAAACTAATCTTTGTGTAAATTATCCGACGACATTATAATCTTTTCTCCCGCAAATACAATACTTTTTTTTTACTGTATGAGAAATACACCAATCGTCCTAAATGTTGAGATGTGAATAATACAGCCGGGAGTTGGGCATTGTTTGTGGCTCAGTAAAGCAGATGATGTGTTTTGTTTGTGGTGTGGGAGGGCCTGATAGCTGAGTGGACATCGCTTCCGATTCTGAGGTTCCGGGTTCGATCCCCGGTGGAGGCGGAAGCAAATAGGCATAACTTTTTCACCCTAATGTGCCTGTTACCTAGCAGTAAGTAGGTACCTGGGAGTTAGACAGCTGCTACGAGCTGCTTCCTGGGGGAAGTGTAACAAATAGGCCTGGTCGAGGACCGGGCCGCGGGGACGCTAAGCCCCGAAACCATCTATGGATAACCTAGGGAGTTTGTGGCTAAATAAAGTAAGGAACATTGACTACATAATAATTGTAAAGGTATTGCAAGGTGAGACATAAGTATGGGTGCAACCTGTCCTCACACTTGAAGCAACGTGATTTATAACGCAATCGGCAAAAAACTTCAGAATTCCGGTGCTTTACTGCATTGAAAAGGACCTGAGGCTGTGACTCATACGTCAGGCTGCGAGCAGCCGCGTCCAACAGCCTGGTTGATCAGTCCGGCAACCAGGAGGCCTGGTCGACGACCGGGCCGCGGGGACGCTAAGCCCCGGAAACACCTCAAGGTAACCTCAAGGTAACCGCAATATTGAGGGACTAACCTCCGGAGTGAAAGGGGTGAGAATAGCTTGAGCTACCTCATCCCTTTGTGTGTATTTTACCTCAATAAACTTATTTCAATTTCAATTTCAATTTCAACCTCCGGAGGGGCCTAATAAGGTGCTAATAAGTGTTAAAGTGTGGTCATAGTGGCAACACCTGTGAGAGTGTGAGGACAGGAAGGTCAAGAGGTCACGGCTACACCTGTTGCTTATGACCTGCAGGTGTAGTCTCCGCCGTAAACTGGAGGCTGGAATTAATTTTGTTCCATATTTTTTTTTTATCGTTTCCTGACACGTTTATTTCAGTCGGATTTATCTTCTAATAAAATATTTCGATTATTTATTTGTTATTTACAGGTTTACTTCAACACATTTGTGTTTTCATTTTAGTTTATTTGGTATACGGTATACCAGATTGGGTAACCCGGCGGTGCCCGGGTCCACCCACCATCATTCTACAAAAAATGAAATAATGAGAAATAACGATAATAAATGGGAACATATAATCATGAATGGCGTCCCAACGTATGTCAACAACACTTGGAATCTACCCTGTTCCAGGGTAGATCTTGTTCCAGAGTCGCCCCCTTTCCCCCCCCCCCCTTCATGAAGGTCACCATGGGAGAAGGCCACATTATAATTAGAGTAATGGGGTTCGTCTCCGACACACCCATGTTGGGCACCTACCTCTCAGCAATCACCGTGCAATGTTGGGTGAGGCTAGCTCCAAGCTTCTGGACAAATAAA